AGCGATTTAGGAATCTTGGGGAATGTTGTTCCATGTCTGAACCAACGCTTGTCCCAATTCAGCTAGCGTCAATGGCCGATTCTGTGCTTGACGTAAACGCTGCTCCATTTCATACCAATCTTGCTCGATAAGGGACAGGTCCGGATAAACAACTGGCCAGGGTAGAACCGGAATGTTCTGCTGTCTCAGGAAATCTGTCACAACACGAGCGACATATGGACGGGCATTATCTTGCTGAAGCGTGTAGTTACGTCTTTGTCCATGAATGAACGGCTGCTCATGAGACCCAATGATCTCATCCCTGTATCACAGACCTGTCTGATTGCCATTGGCAATGTCAAGTTGTGTCCGACTATGAGATGTGATTCTTCCCCATACCATAACTTTCCGCCACCAAAATGTCGACGTTGAACAACGCAAACGTCAGCATACCGTTCACGTCGCCGTCTGTACACCCTTGCCCTACCATCCTACCGGATGGAATCTCGGCTCATCAGTGAACAAAACACCATCCCAATTTTCTCTCCTTTATCGTAGATGCTATCCGGGCCGGATTTTGTGCTCCCTCAGTCGGTTCCGTACAGTCCTGGAACTGATTGGACGTAAGCCAGGAATGGCCCGAGCAGTCAAACTGGCAGTCTGGAATCGATTCCTTAGATGGGGCAGCCGAATGTGGTTGTCTGGCTGACGTGACATCACGTCCGAGGCAAATCTCTCGTGTTCCCATTATGTTGAAATCGAGTTTATTTGGGGTTATTCTTAAAAATTCAAATAACTTGTATTTTATGCATTTTTATGTTATGCACAGTTACCCTTTTTCCGTTACTGGAACATTGTTGTGTGCGGTGTTAAACAACAAATGCACAAATGTACGTTTAGGAACTGACAGAATGGCGTAATTAAGATCAGTTCAGTTATTTAAAATACCACATAACCCACCTACAGCTAGTATATGGAGGCATTTTTACTTCGGAATAATCAGAAATACGTAATCAAGATCAATTTACGCTGAAAATACAGCTCAGCCTTTTCAAAGCTAACACGTGGAGGTGTGCGGAAATGCTGGATCGAAATCATGTGACAAACTGAAATCAAAATACTGCTCAGCCTATTTAAACTGACTGACTGAGTTTGGTTTTACGCAGCTTTTAGCAATATTCCAGCAATATCATGGCGGGGACACCAGAAATGGGCTTCACTCATTGTACCCATGTGGGGATTCGAACCCGGGTCTTCGGCGTGACGAGCCAACGCTTTAACCACTAGACTACCCCACAGCCCCCAGCCTATTTAAAGGGATGTATACATGGGAATTGACTGAACTGCATAGTCAAGATTTGCTAATTATCACAACAACTATTAGTAATGTCATCACACTGTAAATCAACCTCCTTAATTGTATAAAGTCTAATATCCTTCATGCATATATTCTCCTTGTTCATAATGTTTGAGTATCACTTGCTTGATGACGGTGTGTGCATCTACACGGAAACGTTTCCTCCATTGCAATCAGAAGTTGTCTATCCATAAAAAATCGATCCTGTTCATCAGGGGCGGTGAGGTAGCTTAGTGGTTAAAGTGTTTGCTCGTCACGCCGAAGGCCTGGGTTTGATTCCCCACGTAGTTACAATGTGTGAAGCCCATTTCTGGCTTCCCCCGCCGTGATATTGGAATATTGCTAAAAGCGGCGTAAAAACCATACTTTCTTAATCACTCACTCACTCACTCACCCCTGTTCACCATACCAGCTTCTAAATGCGACTCAAAGAAGTAATTGACCGCCTCCGTGGTGTAGTTGTTAGAGAGTTCGCCCGGAGAGCGGAAGGTCGCGGGTTCGATCCCCGACCGCGTCATTCCAAAAGACGTTGAACTATGGTACTTGTTGGTCCCTGCCTGGCGCTCGGCATTAATGGGTACAACAAGGACTGGTCGGCTCGGAGTCAGTATAATGTGTCTGAGTGGGGGTATTCATGCTTCACTGCGGCATGTATATATCTGTGATACTCTAGTTGCTTTACTGTCCTTTGTTGGCAGGTTTTATAGTCTCTATATATATTCTATTTCAATGTCAAGTGTTCTCGTCACGAAATGGCTGAAATATTGCCGATGTGACGTTAAATAATAACTCACTCACTCACTGCGGCATGGTATCTCAGTGGGCTAGCACTTTAAAAACAGCTTCAGTCTGGGCTAGTACAAGCAGCGGCACATACACCATACACACGCATGCACGTCGTCATATGAGCGAAGTTTTCTCAAGCACGACGTTAAACCCAATTTCACCTCACCACCAAATAAGTAATTGAAAATATGTTTTAATCTATTTAGAATTACCACATGGAGGGTACGACACATCTGGTGTTTCATCTCCTTGTCACACTTCATGTCTGGGTCAGAGCACCGGGTGTCCTGAAGACAGAGACAATGGATGCGACATCTTCTGGACCAAGGAGGTGCGCCCACCTCTGTCATGAAAATACCGGATGCCAGGTTGACAAATACCATGTGGTAGAAATGGCTTGTCACGTGGACAAAATCAACCATACTTCCCAGACTGCCGATCAGGTAAGACATATTTCAATTGTAATTGAACCCGTGAATATCCGGGTTAGAATTGATCTACAGTAACCCATGCTTGTCGTTAGAGGCGACTAACGGTGGTCAGCGTCGCTGACTTGGTTGACACATGTCATCGTATCCCAACTGAGTAGATCGATGCTCATGCTGTTGATAACTGGATTGTCTGTGTGCAGACCCTAATATTTACAGACCGTCGCCATATAGCTGGAATATTGCTGAGTGCGGCGTTAAACAACAAACCAACCAGCCTACAAACATTTTTATTTTAAAATTGAAAGATTATTTTGAAACATGAAAACATTGTAAACAATATCGCATGGACTAATGCTTAGTCCGAATGTATGCAATTAAAAATGGAGCCTCAGTCAGATGAGAAATTCAGTGAGAGGGAATCTAGACTTGTAGAGAGGGCTTGGCAGAAGGGAAAATAATGTGGTTCAGGGACTGTGAGACAGACTAGGAGGGCTAGGCTGTAGGGGAAATAATGTGGTTCAGGGACTGTGAGACAGACTAGGAGGGCTAGGCAGTAGGGGAAATAATGTGGTTCAGGGACTGTGAGACAGACTAGGAGGGCTTGGCAGGAGGGAAATAATGTGGTTCAGGGACTGTGAGACAGACTAGGAGGGCTAGGCAGGAGGGAAAATAATGTGGTTCAAGGACCGTGAGACAGACAAGAGGGCCAGGCTGTAGGGGAAAAAATGTGGTTCAGGGACTGTGAGACAGACTAGGAGGGCTAGGCAGTAGGGAAAATAATGTGTTTCAGGGACTGTGAGACAGACTAGGAGGGCCAGGCTGTAGGGGAAATAATGTGGTTCAGGGACTGTGAGACAGACTAGGAGGGCTAGGCAGTAGGGGAAATAATGTGGTTCAGGGACTGTGAGACAGACTAGGAGGGCTAGGCTGTAGGGGAAATAATGTGGTACAGGGACTGTGAGACAGACTAGGAGGGCTAGGCAGTAGGGGAAATAATGTGGTTCAGGCACTGTGGGACAGACTAGGGAAGTCTAGACTTGCTTCATTTAGGGCTTTAGCATTGCAGGGAGGCCTTGGCAGTAGGGGAAATAATGTGGTTCAGGGACTGTGAGACAGACTAGGAGGGCTAGGCAGTAGGGAAAATAATGTGGTTCAGGGACTGTGAGACAGAATAGGAGGGCTAGGCAGGAGGGAAAATAATGTGGTTCAGGGACTGTGAGACAGACTAGGAGGGCTAGGCAGTAGGGAAATAATGTGGTTCAGGGACTGTGAGACAGACTAGGAGGGCCAGGCTGCAGGGGAAATAATGTGGTTCAGGGACTGTGAGACAGACTAGGAGGGCTTGGCAGGAGGGAAAATAATGTGGTTCAGGGACTGTGAGACAGACTAGGAGGGCTAGGCAGTAGGGGAAATAATGTGTTTCAGGGACTGTGAGACAGACTAGGAGGGCTAGGCAGTAGGGGAAATAATGTGGTTCAGGGACTGTGAGACAGACTAGGAGGGCTAGGCAGTAGGGGAAATAATGTGGTTCAGGGACTGTGAGACAGACTAGGAGGGCTAGGCAGTAGGGGAAATAATGTGGTTCAGGGACTGTGAGACAGACTAGGAGGGCTAGGCAGTAGGGAAAATAATGTGGTTCAGGGACTGTGAGACAGACTAGGAGGGCTAGGCAGTAGGGAAATAATGTGGTTCAGGGACTGTGAGACAGACTAGGAGGGCTAGGCAGTAGGGGAAATAATGTGGTTCAGGGACTGTGAGACAGACTAGGAGGGCTAGGCTGCAGGGGAAATAATGTGGTTCAGGGACTGTGAGACAGACTAGGAGGGCCAGGCTGCAGGGGAAATAATGTGGTTCAGGGACTGTGAGACAGACTAGGGAGGCAGATAGGCAGGAGGGGAAACATAATGTGGTTCAGGGACTGTGAGACAGACTAGGGACCGGAGACAGACCCAGGAGGAAACGGACCGAGACCTGAGGACCCAGGAAGACAGGACCACAGACCAGAAGGACCGAGGAACAGAGGAGGAAACCCAGGACCGGGAACAGACCCAGGAGGAATGCCAGGACCGGGAGACAGACCAGGAGGACAGGACCCAGGACCGCCAGGCAGACCAGTGGAGACAGTGACGAACACCAGTGACCGTGGAGAACAGACCCAGAAGGTGGTAGGAAAATAATGTGGAAACCAGGACCGTGAGACAGACCAGGAGGCAGGGAAACAATGGTCTTGTGGACCGTGAGACAGACCAGGAGTGGCAGGAACGAAGCCCAGGAACCCATGACCGCACCACACGGACCGGAAATGGCACACAAACCAGGACCGTGGAGACCGACCAGGAAATAACCAGGAACGTGAGACAGACCCAGGACCGGAGGACAGACCGGCAACGGATGGAACGACCGACAGACTGAAATACCGCACCGACAGACCGGACAGACGGATAACGATGGAACGGGACACCACGGAAATGTGGACGACCGACAACACCGGACCGCCAGGACAGGAAATAACGGAACGGAGACAACGACCGGACCGAGACAGACCGGAAGGCAGGAAATAACCGGACCGGAGACAGTGGAACCCACCGGACCGAGGAAAATACCCAGTCCGTGGAGGTGCAGAAAATAACAAAAACGGACCGTGACAAGGTGGAACGACAGACGGCAGGAAAATAATGGAAACCCAGGACCGTGGAGACAGACGGAAAATACCGGACTGGAGACAATGGACGGAGGAAAATACCAGGACCGGAGACAAGGCATGGAAACGGACTGAATGGATATGGAGGAATACGTGAAACGGACCAGGAGGACTGACACAATGGAAACGGACAGGACCGAATACTGGAAACGGACCGGCAGTGGAAACGAATGGAAACCGGACCGTGGACCACAGGACGAAGGCACAGGAAATAATGTGAAACAGGGACCGTGGAGAGGGCGGTGGAAGAATGGAAACGGGACAAGGGCGGTGGAATGGACAGACCAGAGTGGCGGGCAGTGAAAATAATGGAAACAGAGGACCGTGTGGACAGGACTGAGTGGCCAGTGGAAGAATGGGAAACGCAGGGACTGTGGAGATGAAGAACAGGACGGACAGGAAACAGACTAGGAACAGCGGAAAAGGAAATAATGTGGTTCAGGGATAGACGACAGACTGGAGGAAGGTGGAAAGGAATGGAAACAGAGGACGGGAGTGGACAGGACGCAGGAATGGAAATGGACTGGAGGAGACAGACTTAGGGAAGAATGGGAAATGGAGGATGACTAGGAGGAGGGAAATAATGGACAGACAGAGGAGGAGGAGGGGAGAAGAATGGGAAACAGAATGGGAGACAGACTGAAGGTGGAAATAAGGAATGGACTGAAGGAAATGGAGACAGGAGGAAGAGGAATGGACTGTGGAGATGGAAGGACTGTGGAAGGAAGGATGGACCGGAGGGACAGGGGGAAATAATGGGAATGGAGACAGAGACAGGAGGGGGAAGGGAATGGAATGGGGATAGACTGGAGGGTGGAAATAATGGACCAGGTGGAACAGGAAGGTGGAAGAAATGGACTGGAAGGCAGAAGGAAACAGACATGGAGGGACAAGGGAATGGACGGTGGACATGGAGGGTGGAGGAAATCAGAGGACAGGGAAATAATGGGAAACAGGGACCAGGACGAGGGAAGGTAGGAAATAAGTGGGAAGGGATCCGAGACAGATCCATGACAAGGACCGTGGGAAAGGAATGGGACAGCAGGAGGGGCAGGGGACCGGATGGAGACCAGGAGGGAAGAATGGAATGGACCCAGGAGGCCAGGCCAGGGGAACGGGAAACAGGGACAGGAGGGCCAGGAACACCGGAAACATCGGAAAGGACCGTGAGACAGACCGACCACAGAAACCGAAATACATGCGGTCAGGCTTGGTGGATACCGAAACGGACAGGACCGGAGACGGACCGGAGGAAATACTGCCAGGACGAGGCCAGGCACGGCAGGTGGATAACGGACCGGAAGGAACGAACGTGAAACCAGGACCGTGAGACACGGACCCAGGAAGGAAATAACGGACCGTGAGACAGAACGAAGGAAGGCACCGGACCGTGGAGGACACGGACCGGAGACAGACGAGGTGGAAATACGGACCAGGACCGGAGACAGACCAAGGCGAGTGGAAAATAACGACGGAACGAGGACAGGTGGAAACAACCGGACCCAGGAGACAGGGAATGGACCCTGACCCAGGACGTGGACAGACCCAGGAGGGCCAGAAGGAAACACGACCGTGAGACAGGAAGGCCAGGCAGGAAATAACGGAGACGGACCGAGACACGACGGCCCAGGACCGGTGGACAGACCAGGCAGGAAATACGCGGACCGGAGACAGACCAGGAAAACAACGGAAACACGACCGGAAGGAAAGGCCAGGAACGGACCGGAGACGGCTGGAGAATAACGGAAACCCAGGACCGTGGAGATCAGACCTGGCCGGCAAACCAACGGACCGTGGAGACAGACGGGGTGGAACACGAACGGACCGTGAGACAGACCAGGAAAATAACGGAAACCGTGAGACGACAGACCGGCAAGGAAGGAAACCCATGACCGAAAATAACGGAAACGAGACAGACCAGGAAGAAGGAACACGAAAGACAGACCAGGAAAAGGAACACGGACCGTGGAGACAGACCAGGAGGCACAACGGACCGTGGAGACAGACCAGGAAGGAACACGCATGACCGTGGACAGACCAGGAGTGGCAGTGGAACACCCAGGACCGGAGACAGAGACCAGGATGGCAGGAAACGGACCGTGGAGATGACCAGGGAGGTTCAGGCTGTGGTGGAACAACGGGACCGTGGAGACAGACCTTGTGGCCAGTGGAACAATGGAACGGGACCGGAGGACAGGACCAGGGAGGAAGGAAAGGAACACGGAAACGGGACCGTGGACAGACCCAGTGGACCGTGAGACAGGACCCAGGAGTGGCCAAGGAAAATACCCAGGACCGTGAGGACAGACCAGGAGTGGCCAGGCACACCGGAAACCCATGGACCGTGAGACAGACATGAGTGGGCGGCGGCATGGGAAATACCGTGGACCGTGGAGACAGGACAAGGAGTGGCGAAAAATAACGGGACCGTGAGGACCGGACGGGCCAGGAACGACCATGGACCGTGGAGACAGACCAGGAGGGCCAGCAGGAACACGGAACCCAGGACCGGTGGAGACACAGACAAGGAGGAAATAACCCAGGAGACAGGACCCAGGAGGGCCAGTGGAACGACCCAGGACCGTGAGACGACCAGGAGGCCAATCAGGAAACCCAGGACCCGGAGGCCACACGAGACAAGGACAAGGAAAATAATGGACCGTGGAGACAGACCACACCGAAACCCAGGACCGTGGAGACAAGGACACACCCAGGACCAGAGACAGACCAGGAGGAAATAACAGGACCGGGAGACAGGACCAGGAGTGGCCACACGGGAAACCCAGGACCGTGGAGACAGACAAGGAATGGAAATAATGGACCAGGAGACAGACAAGGAAAATAACGGAACCCAGGGACCCAGGAGACCAGGAGGGAGGAAAACAATGGAACAGGACCGGGAGATGGCAGGGGAAATAAACAGGACCAGAGGGCCCAGGGAAGAATGTGGACTGTGGAGACAGAAGGGGGAAATAACTGTGGACTGAGACTAGGAGGACCAGGAAAATAATGGGAAACCAGGATCGTGGAGACAGACTGGAGGAAAGCCATGGACCCAGGAGACAGACTCAGGAAGGGAAATAATGGACAGTGAGACAGACCCAGGAGGGGAAATAATGGGAAACGAATGGACACTGTGGGACAGGACAGGGAAACGGAAATGAAGACAGGGAGTGGTGGAAATAATGGGAAACTGACTGTGAGACAGACTAGGAGGGAAGCAGTGGAAAATAATGGAAACGAATGAAGGAAGAGGAAATAATGGAATGGAGACAGAGGGCAGTGGAAGAAGGGAAACGGACTGGAGATGGAGGGAAGAAGGAATGGGACTGTGGAGGACAGAGGGAGTGGAATGGACAGTGGAAGAATGGAGGAATAATGGAAATGGAATGGAGATAGACTAGGAAAATAATGGGAAATGGAGATGAATGGAGGAATGGTGGAAAGAATGGGAAACAGGGACCGAGACAGACCAGGAGTGGCAGTGGGGAAATAATGGGACTGGGAGGAGGGGCTAGGTAGGGGGAATGGACTGGAGATAGACTGAGGGAATGAATGGGAACAGGGACAGGGAGGGGTGGAGAATAAATGGATCGAGACAGACTGAGGGGTAGGGAAATAATGGGGAAATGGACTGTGGAGATGGAGGGCCAGTGGAAGGGAATGGATCATGAGCTGGAGGGCCAGGGGGAAGGAAGGGACTGTGGATAGAAGGTGGAAATAATGGGAATGGAGATGGAGGGAAGGGGAATGGGAATGGAGGGGAAGGGACTGAGACAGAGGGAAGAAGGGGAATGAAGGACTGAGACAGAGGGAAGGGGTGGAGGGAAGAATGGGAAACAGGGAGATAGACTAGAAGGAAATGGGACTGGGAGACAGTTCAGGGAGGGCCATGGAAATAATGGGAAGGAAATGAATGGAGACAGACCAGGAGGAATGGGAACAGGGGACTGGACTGGAGGGCCGGGGTGGAAACAGGGACTGGGGAATGGATGGGAAACCCGACCGGTGACCAGGAAGGAAAAATAACGAACCGAGTGGCCAGGAAATAACGGAACGCAGGACCGTGAGCCGACCAGGAGGAAACTAACGTGGCCCAGGACCGTGGAGAGGAGGGCAGGGAAAATAATGGGGAACGGCGGACCGGAGGACAGACAAGGAGGGCAGGATGGAATGAGCCCGGACCGGAGACAGACATGGTGGGCAGTGGCCGGACCGGAGGACCGGACCAGGGAGGAACGCAAACACGGACCGTGAGACAGACCCAGGAAATAATGTGGCCCAGGGACCGTGGAGACGACACCTGAGTGGCCGAAACCGGAGGAAACCCAGGACCGGTGAGGACCCAGGACCGTGAGACAGACCCAGGAGGAAAAGGCAAATGACCCAGGACCGTGAGACAGGACCAGGAGGAAAATGACCCAGGACCGTGAGACAGACCAGGAAGGCCGAAACGATGGACCGGAGACAGACCTGGAACACCACAGGACCGGGAGACAGACTGGCAGGAACGATGGCAACACGTGGACCGAGACAGACCGGAGGGCACAGACCGGAAACCCAGGACCGGGAGACAGACCAGGAACACCCAGGACCAGGAGACCGAGGCCCAGGACAGGACCCAGGAGGCCAGGAAAATGGAACCAGGACCGTGAGACAGACCAGGAGTGGCCAGGCAGGGAACCACCGGAAACCCAGGACCGGAGACAGGACCAGGCACAATGGACCGGAGAGACCAGGAGGGCCAGGCAGGAAAATAACCCAGGAAACGGACCAGGACCGTGAGACCGAGACAGGACCCAGGAAATGGACACGGAAACCGGGACCGGACCGGAGACAGACCCAGGAAGGAAACCCAGGAGACCAGGAGACAGGACCAGGACAGACCAGGAGGAAAATAACACGGAACCCAGGACCGGTGGAGACAGACCAGGAGGACAGACCAACCCAGGACACACAGGACCGGAAAATAACCCAGGAACGCCCAGGACACACCCAGACAGACCCAGGAGGGCCAGGACGGGAAGGAAGGATGGACAAGGAAACGAGGGCCAATGGACCGGAGACAGGACAGCAGGAACCAGGACCGGACCGACGGAGGAAATAACAGGACCGTGAGACAGGACCCAGGAAATAACCCAGGACCGGGAGACAGACCTGGAAAGGAACCCAGGACCGGAGACAGGACCGTGAGGGAGGAAGCCAACGGGAAACCCAGGACCGGAGACAGGACAAAGGGCAGGAAACGGAAAGGAAGGAACCCAGGACCGTGGAGACAAGGACCAGGAAACCGGATGGAGACAGACACACCCAGGACCCGTGAGACAGACAAGGAACGGGACCCAGGACCGTGGAGACAGGAGGAACGGATAACCCAGGACCGTGGAGACAGACCAGGAGGGCCAGGGAAATAATAACCCATGGACCGGGAGACAGACCAGGAGGAAAAATAATGGACCGTGGAGACAGACTGGGCAGGAGGGGTAAACGGGAAACCAGGAGACAGGACCGGGAGGGCTGACAGTAGTGATGGAAAGGACCGGACTGCCAGGGACTAGGAGGAAGAAAAAGGAAACCATGCATGTGGAAACCAGGAGACAGACTCAGGAGGGCAGAAGGAAATGAATGTGGAAACTTGGGACCGGAGACAGACCAGGAGGCTTGAAAGGGAAAATAATGGGAAACAGGGACTGTGGAGACAGACTGAGGGCAGTAGGTGGAAATAATGGGAGCCCAGGGACTGTGGAGACAGGACTTGAAGGGTGGAAATGGAAACAGTGGACGGAGGAGGACGGAATGGAAGGGAAATAATGGACTGGGACTGAGGGCTGGGGAAACTGTGGAAGATGGAAATAATGGACTGTGAGGATGGAGGAGGGAAATGAAGGGAATGGATGGACAGAGGGAAACAAGAGGGTCCTCAGGGAAAGAAGGGCCTGGCTGCAGGGAAAAATAAGGTTTTAGGACCGTGGAGGAGGGTGGAGGCTGCAGGAAACAGGACTGTGGAGACCAGACTGGCCAGGGAACAGGAAACGTGGACCGGAGTGGAGTGAATAGGAATGTGGAGGACAGACCAGGAGACAGGACAAGGAGTGGAAAGGACCGGAATGGACAGACCAGGGACTGGAGACAACCCAGGACCGTGAAGGACGGAATGGACCGAGACTGACACGAGGGAGGGAGGCAAGAATGGACCGGAGACAGAGGGTGGAAATAATGGATCTGGGAGACAGACAAGGAGGGTGGATGGAAATAATGGGAAATGGGACTGTGGAGATGGACAAGGAATAATGGAATGGAATAATGGGAATGGAGGGGGAGACAGACTGGAGGGAAAGGGAAACAGGGACTGGAGGACAGGAGAGGGAAGGGAAACAGGGACTGGGAGGACAGGACATGGGAGAAGGAGGGCTGTGGGGAGTAGGAAATTAATGGAAACAGGGACTGGGAGACAGACTAGGAGGACTGAGACAGGAAGGAAAATAATGGTTCTGGTGGACTGTGAGACAGACAAGGAGGGCTAGGGCAGGGGAAAAATAATGTGCTTCAGGGACTTGGGGAGACAGACTAGGAGTGGGCTAGGGCAGTAGGGAAATTAATGGAAACCGGCTAGGACTGTGAGACAGACTAGGAGGGCTAGGGCAGTAGGGAAAATAATGTGGTTCAGGACTGTGAGACAGACCAGGAGGGCTTAGCAGCAGGGAAAAAAAAATAATGTGGTTCCTCAGGGACTGTGAGACAGACTAGGGAGGGCTTAGGGCAGTAGGGAAAATAATGTGGTTCAGGACTGTGAGACAGACTAGGGAGGGCTTAGGCAGTAGGGAAAATAATGTGTCTCAGGGACTGTGAGACAGACAAGGAGGGCTAGGCAGTAGGGGAAAATAACGTGGTCTGTGGACCGTGAGGACTGACCTCAGGAGGGCCAGGCAGTGGGAGACAAACCAAGCAGTGGAAATAATGGACCGTGAGACAGACCAGGAGTGGCCAGGCCGCAGGGAAAGACCGTGAAACCAGGGACTGTGGAAACAGGGACCAGGACAGACCAGGCACTAGGAAACCCAGGACCGTGGAGACAGACCAGGGGAAGGACCAGGACCCAGGACCGGAGGCACAATGAGGCAACCCAGGACCGTGGAGACAGACCCAGGAGGGCCACACAGCACAATGTGGACCAGGGACAGGGAAATAACACCCAGGACCGTGAGACAGACCCAGGAGGCAAACGGAACCGGGAGACCCAGGAAACACAGGAGACAGACGAAGGAGGCACAGGCAGCAGGAAACCTGCACAGGAACAGGAAACCACCAGTGGACCGGAGAGACAGACCAGGAGACAGGACACAGGGACAGGAAACCACCCAGGACCCAGTGAGTGGCCAGTGGAACACGCACCCAGGACCAGGCCAGACGGCCCCAGGAGGCAGGACAGACCGTGGACCGTGGAGACAGACCCAGGAGTGGCCAGGCAGCAGGAAAAACACACACCCAGGACCGTGAGACAGACCTGGAGGGCACACAAAGAACGGTGGAGAAGGACCAGGAAATAATGGACTGGGAGACAGACCAGGAGGAAAAGGAGGGCACAGGACAGGGACTGTGAGGACGGAGGAAGGAAATGGAAACAGGGAGACAGACAGTGGAGGGACCGGGGAGACACAGGGCAGGTAGGAAATAATGACCGGAGGCAGGAGGAGACCACAACCCAGGACCGTGGACCCAGGAGACAGACCACAGGACCAGGAGACACACCAGGACCCCAGGAGACAGGAGTGGCCAGGAGGAAACGAGGACGAATAGGAGGCCGGCAGGAACAATAACGGGACCGTGGAGACAGACCAGGAGGCCAGGCAGGGCCGAACTGGGAGACAGACTAGAGGACAGGCTGTAGGAACACAATGTGGACCATGGAAACAGACCCAGGTGAGTGGAACGACCCAGGACAGAGGAACACAGGAACAGGACTGGAGAGACAATCCAGGAGAACGAATGGAAAAGGAAAATAACGGACCCAGGACCGTGAGACACCAGGACCGTGGAAACCCAGACCGAGACAGACCAGGAAACAAGGACCGTGGAGACAGACCAGGAGGAAATTCACTTCCAGGACTGTGAGACAGACTAGGAGGAAACCCAGGACCGGAAGACATGGACCAGGAGGCCACACACAACCCAGGACCGGAGACAGACCCAGGAGGGCCAACCCAGGACCGGTGGAGACAGACCCAGGAGGCCAGGCAGCAGGAACAGCCATGGAAACCAGGACCATGAGACAGACCAGGAGGGCCAGGCAGGGCCAATGTGGAAACCAGGACACGTGAGGAATGGAGGCCTTGTGGCTGCAGGAATGAATCAGGAAACCCAGGACTGTGGAGACAGACCAGAGGGCCAGGCACACAGGAAACCCAGGACCGTGAGACCAGGGCGGCCAGTTCTGGGTCTATCAGTAGTCTGCCCAGTCTGTCGATATTGTCTGGACACTGTTACGCGGTGACATCCGAGGGTTTGAGCGACGTGGTCGTGAGTGGCGCCCATCTCCAACATTCCCAATGCTCTTTTCTCGCTGCTGCGCTGTCAATCTCGGCATTCTTCTGGTGTCGTTTTGAGACAATGATGCTGTGCTTGCCTTCTGCATCGAATTTATACCCCAGTCGAACGAAAATTGTATTTTAATGACTAAAAACGCATTTCATGTTTTTGTTTGGAAGTGTACAAAGCAAGGATTCTGTTCCAATTTTTGTTTGTAAACACCTAAGATGTGTTCGGGTGATATAGTTCCTGTACCTGGAAACTAAAATTTTTTTTTAGTAATTCATATTTTATATTTTTTTTGTTTGTAGCGTTTCTTTGTACTTAAGTTTATAGTGAGTTTATGAAACAGGAATGATATACTTCTGTACTAAAACCTGTTCATCACAGTATAATATGTATTCTCAGATTTTCACCCACAGTGCAATGCACACCTCGAGTAAAAACAACCTCAAAATGAATATAGGAACAATTTAATGTGTTCCATGATCTTTTTCCGTGAGTATACTTTAGCAGTTGCTTGTTGAAGTGGAGAGTGCCCGGGTTCTCCACCGGGAGCACAGCCCTTCTGACACTCTGGAAAAGAAAGAAGTCTGGGCTGCGTGTAGATGGGGCAAGGGCCCGGTGCTGATGATGAGCCTTACCAGCCAGACTGTGCCAGGGTCACCCGAACGCTCTCTGATGCATTTTCATCTTAATCTGTAAAACTTAATAATTATGAAAATTTATATAGCACTAACTCGATAGTCAGTATTATTGAGAGAAATGTGGTGTGACATTGTGCCTTTAAAGTAAATGAATGGTTCCTTGTCTTAGATGAATCTTGGAATATCATCTTATGAATTGAGGTTGTTTTTAATAATTTAGTTCATCCTTCATGCTTTTGAAAGAAACACATTAACATATCTACTATTTTGTTTACTTACTGTTTTGTATTACTTACTAATATCACGGCGGGGGACACCTGGAATGGGCTTCATGTGGGGAATCCAACCTGGGTCTTCAGAGTGACGCGCGAACGCATGAACTACTTAACTAAGCCTTGGGTGACATATATCATTGTATCCCAATTGCTTGGAGCACCCACTTAGTAAGTTAGTAAGTTAGTGTGGCTTTATGTCCCTTTTAACGATATTCCAGGAATATCACGGCGGCGCACACCAGGAATGGGCCTATGTGGGGAATCGAACCTGGGTCTTCAGAGTGACGAGCGAACGCCTGAACTATTTCGCTATCCCCCCTACCCCCCCCCCCCCACACACACACACACACAGAGAGACACACACCCTTTGTTCATCCTTCGTGCTTTTGAAACAAACACATTAACATATCTACTGTTTTGTTTACTCCAGTATTTGGGTGGAGAAGAAACGAAGAAGAACAGTTCAGACTGATCGAAGAAGAACCACGGACACGTCTACTGATTTCCAGAATTCATCTGAAATCTGAAACATACTTGAAACAGATTAATCTGAACAATTCCTCACGATCTGCCTATAAATCTTGCTTGCTCAGATGTCAAGTTAGAGCGTTATTGTATTTGTCTCTTCGTAGGACGATCCTCATTGCTATAACACGCAAAAGTTACATGAAGGCATGTGCAATAGATGATGGTAAAATATCTACTCTCCACCTTGGTCTCCTGATTAAAGATATGGACGTCGATGAGAGCAGACAACTTGTGTTTATGAATGTACTCATAAAATATGGTGTTACTATTCATAGAATGTCAACCACGGGATCAAATCTGATACAAATTTTCAATACAAAAAGCTATAGATCCGCCACAGACGTTGTTGCTGACGCGAAAAGAAGAAATTTATACATTTCTTTACTTCCAAAATTAATTATTTGTGTTAGTTATGAGGGAAACAACATCCATACCATTATTGAAACCCGTCAACAAGTAAACACAATGACTTTGGAACCAAGACATGATGTGCTTTACTATGTAGATAACACAGCTGTAAAAGTCTTTTCATTACAAACAAACATTTCCAGGTACGTGTCACGTTTGCCAGGCACTACATTGGACATGGTTTACTATGATTACAAACTGTATATCAGTATTTATCAAGTACTAATTACTTTTGATTTGTCGAGCAATGAAACAGAAAGGAGGAGTACTAAGACATCATTCCTATGTTTGGTTCCCTAACTATACGGGTATGTCAGTATGCTATTGTCACTATTAGATACTTTCGTATGATGCGCAGCATATCCGCTTTATATGCTGGTTATAGAATACAGAGGTATACTGAGGAAAACAAATAAGGGAACACCACTTCATCACAGCGTGTGAAGAAACCTGGAAAAGAATAAAGGAACACTTGTGTTTTCATGTGTTCCCTTATTTGTTTCCCTCAGTATATGATACAAGTTCACCGTTGTAATGTTTCTGACTCTAAGCATGTCGTACTATAGTATTTTTAAGTTCAATAAATCATGGTATCCAAAACCTGATTTCTTTCAAATGTTTCATAGTGATCACTGGGTTGTCTGATCCAGACTCGATATATTTACAAACAACTTCGCACACCTTTAATACTGCTGAAATTTATACTCATGATATGGTCACACATGTACAATCGACTCTGCTTTTAGTACAGATTTCTTATGAATGTGGAAAGGGTTTTGCCACTTCTATTGCAATGTATTACTGATTATATTTAGTGTTTAGATGCAATGTGTCGTAAGAGGCGACTAACGTGTTCGGGTGGTCAAGGCTTGCTGACCTAGTCGATACATGTCATGGTATCCACATTGCGCAGATCGATATGCTCATGTGGTCAAGCGCTGTAATGTCTGGCTGACCTAGACTCGAATCTTTACAAACAAATGGAAGAAAACAACAGAACCAAATTAAACATGTGAGTTCACATGACATGATGGAGTACATGTAGTTTATAGTTATGCGATCTTAGTATAATTTATTACATTCAAGTATGTTGAAACCATTTTACTTTAGTAGTGAAAGATTATTTGAAACTGATGGTGGTTAACGACACTCTTTACATAATCATGCGAAATCCATCAAAGAACATCGTCCTCATACGATCATATCATTATGCGCAGCCCTCACAGTCAGATGACGTGAGATCGTATATGCAAGGTCAATTTTCTTATTCACCCGATAAAGTAAGTGTGTGAATGATAAAGACCCTATCTTCCTGAATTTGAGTGAGTGAGTTTAGTTTTATATCGCTTTTAGCAATATTCCAGTAATGCCATTGCGGAGGGACACCAGAAATCGGTTTAAAATTTTGTTTCCATTTGGGGAATCGAACCCGGATCTTCGACAAGGCTTACACCAGTAGGCTACCTCACCAACTTCAAACAAAACAAAAACACGCACGCACACGCACGCACGCACGCACGCACGCACGCACACACACACGTACAGACACACACACACACACACACACTATACATACATATATACCGGGCGTCATTGATAAAGGGTCAAATGATCCATAGCTCATGTAAAAAAAGTTTCTCAAAAATAATAGAACCAAGAGTGTCATCATAATGTTTAATGTGTTGACAAACGTGACACATCGTGACATACAGACAAAAAGTTCAAACAACACTAGCAAACACCAGCTGTAAAGACCAACCCTCCAAAATGAAAATAACAAACATGAAGCACTCGGTCCTTCAATATCTTGTGTACCCTCCTAGCGCGTCCAAGACACGGGTGCACCTTGTTCTCATGCTCCTTATCAAGTTCATAAAGAAAGCTTTCGGAATCGCTTTCCATTCCAGAGAGCTGGGAGTGCTGGGTGACGTGTGTGACATGTCGACCGAGTTCATCCCAGGCATGCTCAATTGAGTTGAGGCCTGGCGAGCATGTTGGGCACTCCATCCGCACTACGCCCTGAGGAATTCCGTGACAATCCTGGCCCAATGAGGCCAAGGCTTGTCGTCTTGCAGTAAAGAGGAACGACCATAAAAGCCATGCATAGTTTGTAGGAATGGTACTGCTATAGGAGCCAGAATTTCGTCCCGGTAACGCTGTCCGGTAAGATTACCGTCGACCACGTGCCTTGGAGTACGTCCAGCAGGAGTTATCCCTCCCCAAACCATGACCGATCCCCCGCCAAATCGGTTATGTGTGTCCACAGTTGCATCTGTGATTCGCTCTCCATTGCGACGATAAATCCACTGCCGACCACCATGGATGGACAAAATGAATCTGCTTTCATCTGTGAAGGGCACACGAAACCGTGGACGTTGATTCCAACGGCCATGATGTCTACTCCATCTCAAACGCGCCTGCCGGTGACGTGGTGTAAGTGGTGGACGAACTGCAGGTCGCCTGCAGCGGAGTCCGGCTACCCGATAAATGTCGACGAACGGTGCTCCTGGATATCCTTACATTGTTAGCAAGGGTTCTGTCTGAAGGGGATATGTTCTGAAGGGGGAGAGAAAGTTAGTATCTTTGGTTTTTGTTATGTAACAGGTGAAAAACGTAGCGAAAAAACATCTTCAACATTAATTTAAAACCCAGATCTTCGTGGGATGTGTGGCAGTGTTAATCATTGTTCCAACATTATACATGTGAGGATCAGTTTGGGGAGTGGCGCTTTATATTTAGATAGCTCTGGGAGGTACTACAACCCACTTGGCCTGTGGAAATCAATCTTTTAGTTAGGCATATGAAAGGAAATAACTCTTCCCTCTTGTCTCACTTTATATCTTATGTTTCACGAAGACCAGCAATTGTGTGGAGAACATTCTTACGCCTGATATCACGCGTAGGTCACTGTTGCAGTTAGGAGAGTACTACCTATCTTTATTGCCATACTCACAATTTTCGTTTTATATTGTCGCTCTATATTTAACTGTCAAAGGGGTACCTTTGTATCGATCTGTATTGATCTGTGAACATTGTTAATTTTAAGAATACAATTAGTTACATCACATTTCTTTGTTTGTTTGTTGAATTCCCTAGTTCTCTTACTA